TTATTTCAAAATTCCAACACTTTTCCAGGTTTTCCATGACCGCGGGTACCCTGGTATTATTTTTATTTGGTGTCTGCCCTTCAGTCCTAGTTTAAGACAAATCTGGTCCCAACAAGCACAAAGCGCACGAACACACACACAGGTGATCACAGAACACCTCCCCCCGCCGTATAGAAAGCCATCGAAACTTTGCACAGTGTAGAACTGAACTATATTCCCATAATTACGTACTGATATTAAAGGAAAACATCTCTTATAATTAACCGTTTTAGAAATCATAAAGGTAATTTCACTTAAGTAAAAAAACGATGCGTCAATTTAAAATATTGATGTTGACGCATTTTCTGCGTCGACATCATCGAACACGTCGACTAATCGTGGCAGCCCTTAATCTTTGCCCAATACTCAACTAACTTTCGAGGAAAACCATTATCATGGTTTTAACGATGAGTGTGTCCTATGACCTTTCATGTTTATTTAAAATCATGGGAAGGACACTAAATTACATTCACCAACTAAGCTTAAATGGCTCAACAGTAGATTAAAATACAAGGATTTCTCCCTTATTTTAATATTTAGGGTAGATTTACAAAGTAATAAACCTCTGACATTCATGTAAAAACGTGTACATACTTGTCTCAGATTCAAAGTCTCACGCCAACTAGCTGAGTAAAGTTGGCAACCCTGGGTAACTCGTCATCTGAAATAACCGTAGTTCGCCAAAATTTAATGAGCCAGACATTCTTCTGCGGACTATTGGAAATGAGTCGCTTTACCTAGAGTTTCAGCTGCCTGTCATATGGTAACTTAAATGTCTCAAGTATATATAAACTGGGCGCTACTGAAGAATTTCCAGCGCGCGCATCTCGGCAGCACGAGAAACGGGCGTGGTTTCCCGCCAAATCAACCAAGTTAATTAGGACTAACTAGGTTTTTGCCAATTGTGAATTAGATATGGACGCGTTGTTGCGTTAAAAAATATAGAAGTTAAAAAGTACGCTTTACGCGTCTTTGGATTGGATCGTTTATGCATATCTAAAGTTGGTGTTGGTGAGTACGGTACACTGATAATTCATTTTATTTTTTTAAAACACCATTATGATGAGAATTAATCGAAAACGTAATTCGTTGTGGTTATATTTTACACTGAATTATTTAACGTCCGGAATAAGCGGGTCTCAAATAAACGTAAAAAAAACGTTAACAACAACAGTGTGAGTACACCGCATAGAAAGTATATGGTAAAAATTAAAAAACAAAAAATAATCAAAAACAGGCACAACAGCTCCTCTAATTCGGCGATTTTCTAAACGGAAAAAATAAACATGTCGGTGAAGTGAGGAGCATATCGAATATTCTATTCATTTAGGCCCCATAGCTTTTTTTTGTAAAACTGATTCCCTTTATATTTACTAAATATCAGCTGTCTCTGAATTTCCCACAAACGGGTAATTCCACTTGACTTGTAGCAGTGTGATTCCCAGCAGTTCAACGTCAAAAGGATTTCCTTTACCGCCATCTAACATGGCTGGTAATTAAAGATGGGCAAATTCTCCGAGGATTGCACGTAGGTTCTTGAGCCTAAGAGTTTCCTCTGCTTTCTGTACATAGATTGTTTTAGGGGTGAGCCGGTGTTTTATCAAAGCATCTTCTTTTTAGTTACTTTTTCATAGTTTTAGAATATGTTGAGTTATTGGATGGTCAGTGTTTACTGACTTTCCTGCCTGGATGTAGCTGTGTATCAGTCTTTGACCTGTGTGCCTGAATGTCAACCTTCTCTTACTAGATTCTGAACACTGAATAATTAAAGCGGGTATATCAATTCTACAATGGTGAGCTTTTGTGTATTTGAATACCACACAATTGTTTCCTTAGAGCACTGTCATTCAGAATGGCTTCACGGAAAAAGGTTGGATAGTGCATTGGATGACTTCTGAAGCAGTACTGTAGAGGAGGTGGGGGGTGGGGGGGTTATGAGACTTCTAAATGCATAACCATGCGCTGAGGCTATCCAGCGCATAAGAAACCACAAGAAAGACGAGCAAGGGGAGTGGTGAAGAAGGAAGGCGTCTTGGTGATGAAAGGAGGTGTCTTTGATATTGTGGAAGTGTCACCTCAGAGCTGCAGCCCAATGAGAAATGGGAGAGGTGGACAGGAGGGGCTAAGCTGGACAGGAGTGAAGAGGAGGGCATGGTGCTTGTTCCTGCCTCGAGAAGGCGGTACACTATTTTAATAGTGGTAAAAGCGGTTCGATCCACTCTTCAAATGGCTGGGTCTGAGTATACGAAGGATTCATACCAATACAAACACCTTAAGGTGAAGAGGGAAGAAACGGGGAGAATACACTCTACATTATAATCATTGGAAGATTCTTATATGTAAGTAAAGCACATTGTGAGTGTATGAGATGGCCTGATTAATATTAAACTAATTCTTATTTGGTTTTTGAAACTGTCCCGTGCTTCTGAAGAGGCTTTAGTAAGAGACAAAAGATTAACCTGTTTTATTTCTGAAGAAAGCGGATTGTATGTCATTCTTTAATGACTGCCCAAGTCCAAATAGCTTTAATGAAGGATTTGGAACTTATTTGGCTCTTATCCAGATCCAAGTCAATATCTGTTTTTCCTTGTGTGTTCTGTGCTCATAATGGTCCCATTGTTATACCTTCTTGTGTCACAAGAACAGAACATGCAGATCTATAATAGTGATAACAGTGGAACTATTACATATCTATTAATCTTTCAACTTTACTCCCTGGAGATCTTGGCTCTCTGGGTCTCTTTTTCAAAATGAGAACACAAATGAATTGATGTGCAGCAGTCGTTTTTAAGTCTTTTTGGTCTTTCTGATACTGCTGTTCAATATTCTGTTGCACGCCAAGGTGTAAAGATGCTGGTGACACTGGTATATACATGTGTGTATTAAACACTTGCAGGTGTGTTGCAGCTGTGAGATGCCGGCTAACCTACTGAGAGAGAGAATCCTCAGTGGTTTCTCATTGTGTTCACCGGTTAAACGAGTGTGTGGCTGGGATGTTCCTGTTAACAAATGTGTAGGAGGCAAGATAATTTTCCTTGTCTGTGCTAGAACACATCTTATTAGGAAATTTGTCAGGAATGGTAAAACTAGATTTTTGTAGCTTGTCAGACAGGTATTGAGGTTTGGGGGGCAACTGATTTAATAAAAGAGGGAGGGAGAGAGCTCATAGTTGCTGAAAATTAAATGGCATCTTCCTGAAATTCAGGCCAAATCCTCCTAATTTTGTGTCCCAGATGGAAATAAGAATGTAGCAGGTAAATGTAATGTTGAGTAAAGTTACCAAATCATCCGGAGGGTAGAGATGAGCACTAGCCCACAGGTCAAACATTGTCAAAAATATGACTTCATCAGTCCCCTTTTGTATACTTATTAATATAATTCCAGTTTCCAAGTCAGTACCATTAAGACTCCTTTGTTTTCAAGTTGCTGACATCCTGTTACATGGTTTATCATACCTAACATGTGATTATTGAGTCAATGTGCTGTAGCGCAGTTGCATATTACATGTGCCAACAGCTTGACTCATCATCCATAAAAGCTAAGTGTCAAAGGTAAAGTCAGATACAAGATTCATATGAGGAAAATGGTCAAAAGGTAGGTGGTTGCATTTCAATTCTCATGATATCAGTGCTCATCTCCAAGCATGGAAGTAGCATAATACCTTCACATAATTCAGTTCTTCCTTTTAACTTTGTGAGACAGGGTTCACCAAAAAAAAGTGTGAATATTTCTGTCATATATTGGAATGCATGCATATTCAATGCTGGATATACACTCACTAGCCACTTTAGGTAAACCTTGCCAGTACCAGGTTGGTTCTCCTTTTGCCTTCAGAACCGCTTCTATTCTTCATGCCAAGGCTGGAAGAAACTTACCCACCATTACTTTTATAATGTGAGGGCTTCATTAGAGTCGGAAAGGGCCAAAAATTGATAACTTTTTAATTGTTTAATTTTTAATTAGCTGGCTTAATAGGTTTATGTACAGAGATGCTAAGTAACTTGTCTCATAAAAAATGTCATGCTGTACCTTAGATCGTCATTGAATGGTCCAATCAAAGTGAATCTAATTAGACTTCAATGCACCTACTGTATCGGTATAATGATCTTGGGGAAACCTAAATGTTTTCACAGTAAAAATGCCCCTGTGCATCTCTCTACAACTGGCACTGAGAATGATGGTAAAGGTAATGTATTCTCTGTGGAGCGATTCAGCTTTACCCACAGTGACTGGTCGGAGTGTGTAGCTGAAAATGACTTTTGTCTCAACTTCTGTACCAAGGTCATTCTCAGCACTGTGAGATACAATATGTCTGGATTTTGTGCAAAGTCATACCAAAAAGCACCTTAACTGTAATTAGTGGTAGTGGAGCACGAGTTTAAGGAAGGTCAGCATTGCCCAGACCAGCTGTCGGTGAAACTTAAATGTAACCAACTTGTATGCAGAACGTATAACTGAGATTTAAGAAGTTTTACGTGGCTGTAGATGAGGTACTTGTTTTCGGAACAAACTGAAATGTATTGATGTTTCACAACAAGAAAATGTGTCGATCCCATGAAGTCTGGAATTGCAGGGATTAGTTAAAGTAGCATTGTAAAAAGAGAACCAGCTATAGTTTTGATAAAGCGAGTATTGCATTCTGTTTAGTTGAGAGTGCACAGTCCTTTTTTTTTTTTTTTTTTTTAAACAAAAGATTTGGATCAAGTTAAATGAAATAATGAATATATGATATCGGACTGGATAATTGGGAGAATTCCTGATGAGCTGGCCTGGTTTTGGGCTGGTGATGAGGAAACACAATTTTATGTCAACACTCTAGCTGAGTTGGTGGTTCTCAAACTGTGTGGCGCTAATTCCTGGATCCAGACAAATTGTGGAACTGAAAAGAATATGAATATATTTCACCCTCTGTTCGATAAACTTTACCACCACACCTCACCCCCGCAACAAAATTTACCGGCAGCTGGTCTGGGGTGTTGCTCTACTGGGCTGAAACTCCCATTCTAGCCCTGTGAATCTGTCAATAATTTTTGCAGATTGGAAGCTACAAAACAGAAAATGAAGATTGTTTCACACCGAAAGAATCTTCAGTTGCTGACTCTGTCCTTACTGTGCACCTAAGAACAAAGTGTGCTTAGCATTACTATGAAGAGGAGGCCACACCCAGAGACCCAGAGAGGGAAGCTCTGTGTCGGCTAGGTGACATAGTTTCGCCACAAGGAAAAGGCTGGTAGGTAGAGAGAAGTGAGGCGGGAATCGGTGGTGTCTTATTACAGGGAAGTTCTTCTGCTTATCGGAGTTGGGGTCAAGGCTAGCCGCTCTCATAGATCTGCAATATATTTATAAAAGCTTTGGAAGGATGCCTGAAGGGAACATGCATAAAGGACAGGCTTGAGTCCTCCAGGAGTAACAGGACGGAAGGACAAGTGGAGGAAGAAAGAGGAAAATTGATGTGATTTGGAGAGCTGAGCCAAGTCTTTTGTGGGATTGCATTAGAAAGGGATTTATTGGCTTGACTGCATCTTTTGGAGGTCCCACAAGTGAGGAAGAGCCACAATGGCGGTAAGTTTGGCTCTTTTGCCCACAATGTCACTATAAAATGATTCGTTGTTGAAGGGGCAGTATAGACTTGTGGAAAGTTAACATGGATTGATGTGAAATGGCTATTGTCACAATTGTTCATGATTGGAATGTAAATGTGTGTGTGTGTGTGT